GGGAAAGAGCCAGAGAGTGAGAAATCACTTTCCCAGGGGTGGCCTTAACCACCACACCACCTGCTGCCCCTGCCCCTTCCCCCCAACACTTTAAATTACAGACTATCACTGAACATCGGAAACAAATTTCAGGGGTTGGTTGACACTTAGAAACAATATATAAAACCAGTACATGATATGCAAGAAATAGTATTTACTTTTCAATATAATCATATGGGCATTTGTTGGACAGATTCATAGTTTTAATTCTTAATTTTTTTTCTTAGAGAAAGGGAGAGAGGAAGATAGATATTTCTGACAAGGTCTCACAACATCACAATCCTCCTGCCCCAGTCCCCCAATTAGCTAGGGTCAAAGATTGGCCTGGGAATTGAACCTGGGGCTCCCACATGGCTTCCACTTTCCCAAGAGATGGAGCTATTGCTGCTGGGCCAGTTTGACTTTTTTAAAGTTGGGGTGCATCAGCGTCAGCGGGTAGTGTGGTGGTTAAAGCGCTGGATACTCACATGGCAAACTACAGCTCAACTCACAGACCAGGCAGCTTGAAAATCATTACTGGGTCTATGTGCATGTGCATCCAAATTCTCAAGAGGAGAAGAGATTTGCAGCGTGGCTGATCCTGCTGAGGGGTGAATTCTCTTTCCCCCTCTCTCTCTGAGCAAAAACCTAAACACATACACACATGCACACACAAATAAGTGTGTATTTCAAAGACCTGTTTTATGCAACCTAAAGTTCTCTCTCTTTTCACAGTCTCCCTTTAATTTTCCCATTGCTCCAAATTTCTGATCCTCTTACATGTAATTGGGTAAAATAGTTCAATGACTAGAGTGGAAAGATTATAAAATTTTATTTTAGCCTTTTATATAGTTCAATACTTTGGGCCTTTTAATATTTTTCATTTAAGTGTAATATATATATACATATACAGCAAAATGCACAGCTCTGACATGTTAAGTTCGCCCACTCTCTGTGGCACGGCTATAGCATAAGTGACTGTGGAGCTAGAAGGGGCATACCGACTGTGGTTGAAATCCCTGGCTTACTGGGCCTGAAACATGCCAGCAATGGGAATGTGTACCTGGGATCCTGACTAGCTGGAGGACTGGAGGAAGAGGATCACAATGTGACCAAACACACACTATGATGAACAACAACAAAAAAATTAAGTCTTGAGTTTTGACAAATATAAAGCTTTGCTTTTGGTATCTAATTGATACATACTGTTTGGAGACATACTAAAGCAGATAAGTGTTAGCGTTGAGCATCACTGTACATTAACAAAGTAAGCTGTGATCTGCATTTTTACTATCATTCAGGCAGAAGAAAAAGTTCAACACAGCAAGGCTACATTAACTACTATTTGGGGGGAAAAAAAAAACTAAAATCCAACACACTGAGATCAAATTTGAACATTTGACTAGGTTGATTTTACTGTATGTAAGCCTCTAGATTCTATGAGTTAACCATTAAAACATAAAAACATTTAAGAATTGACAACATTGTACTTTCCCACGAAGAACTAACTAAAATTGAACTCAAAATCTTTACTTTCTAATAAATAGCTGAAGATACTACAAAAAAATGAGTCTGTGATACATGCCTGTAAAAGTGAATTTAAAGTGTAAGTCACATTTGAATGCAAGATTTACAAAATCAGTAGTCGTGCCTGGTTCTTCCAGTAAGCAAGGTTTGAAGAGTAATATAATTCTTTGTTTTAAACTATTTCTTTAATAATATTTATATGGCCATCACTGTTTTCTATATACTATGTAAGAATGAATTTCTTGTCCTTTGTAGGATCCTTTGGCTGCTTCACTGCTGTATCACTCCTATAGTTCCGTACAGGGATTTTTCTGTGTCATATTGCTTTAAGAAAAAAAAAATACTGTTTGAAGTCCTCTTTTTTCAAAGAGATTTTTGCTATAGGGCATGTGTGCTCGCCAGCGAGAGAGAGAGAGAGATAGAAAGTGAGAAATCAACCCCTAGGGGGCATGGTCAATCCGCAATCACTTCTCTTCCATTCTCCTCTTGTGATTTTGGGCATGCACGCACATGCGCCTGGAGTGAGTTTAAGCCACCAGGTCCGGGACTCAAACCATGGTCGACTGTGGGAGCCCAGTGACATAACCATTATGCCATCTGCTGGTCCCTGCTTCAGGTTTTTCTCTACTGTCTTGACTTTGAGTAAGTTATACAAAAATTCATTTTGAGTCTAACAGTTTTTCTATCTATGTAAAAATGGACATGACACACAGAACTAGTGAAATGAATAATATTTTTGTGTAGGCATTCTTCTAGCTACTAAAGAATACATAGCCACTGTAGCACTTGATGTTAATAATCATTGTTTTGTGGGCTGGGACTATATGGGAGACCTGAGTTCAATTCTGAGTCCAACCTGGGTGTGTTGGCACACACCTATCATCCCAGTGACTTGGGAGGTTGAGGGAGGAGTGTCATGACTTGGCAAGACCCTGTCATAAATAGAGTATATATGGGTGATTATATAATATTAGCAGCAGCCCAAAATGCTAAAAAATGAGATAAATCTCCAATTAGAATGCTACCACAGAAGTTAGAAAGCACGTTTTCCCTAATTTCTTTTAATATTAGGCAATTAAAAAGGGAAAAAAGATAAAATCCACTATTTTTATTTACTTGAATTCTTTTGATAAAGCTGTCCTGCTCCCTACCTGCCATCCATCTTTACACAAAACTTGGCATATCATTTCAAAGTATTCGAGCCACCTGAAACTCACTTAAGTATGTCTTACTGTTTCCTATTGCTATTGTCTGAATGTGTCTCCTCAAAATTCTCACAGTGTCAAAGTATTCAGAGGGGTTTGGGAGATGGAATGGCATTAGTGGCCTTTTTATAAAAGGAACCCTAGAGAGCTAGTTAGCTCCTTCCACCAGGTGAGGATACAGTGAGAAGGCTCCATTGTAATAGGGCCTCACCAGACACCCAGCCTTTGTCTCGGACTTCAGAACTGAGAGAAACAGTGTTATTTATAAGGCATCTCCTTTGTGGTTATTTCTGTTATAGCACCTCAAATGTTCCAAGACACAAATAAAAATCACCTTGGGAATGGAATAATCTGTAAAAATTTGGTAAAAGTCAAAACTGCCTTTAAAGGCAAGCGGCAGAAAAATCCCAAGTGATGCAGGTTCAGTTCCCTGCACATGACAGGCATGTATGCCCATCATCCTACCTGGCTAGGAAAGCTGGGGTTGGGGAGGTGACCTGCTGAGAGGCCCTGTTGAAAGGATGCTTGTCTTTCTCTCTCATAATAGAAATAAACTTTAAAAAAAAGAAAAGAACGAAAAAGCACTAACTTCCAGACTGCATATGAGAAATTAAGTTATGAATTTTACTTATATTTAACAGATTTTTGCTATAGGGCACATGCGCTCACCAGAGAGACAGAGAAAGAGAGACAGAAAGCTAGAAATCCCTCCCCGGGGGGATGGCCACGCCTCAGTCTCTTATCCTCCATTCCCCTCTAGGGATCCTGGGCACGCATGCACATGTGCCTGGTGTGAGTTTTAAGTCAAACTGTGGTCGACTACCTGGGAGTCCAGTGACATAACCATTATGCCAAGTTACCAATTTTAGCACTCTAGTGAAAAAGTCACTCAAGCATCACCAAAGATGTTCCTACATATCCACTACTTTTCATACGACCTATGATATGCAGAAGAATGACTTACAAAGTATCTTTGTGCAGTTTCGTATTATCATTATGCCTATGGAAGATCACTAGTTATAGATATGCTAAAAGATATTGGTAGCAGTAAATTGTTATGGTGATAAAAACTTAAAAGTATTTCCTATTTAAATGTTCATCATTGCTGAAATTATATCTGAACACTGTTGGCTCTGTAAATGTCTTAAATTCAAAAATGATTTTGCCGTATTAAAACTCTGTACACAGCATCTGTTGCCAGTGTCTACATCTAACCCCAAGGTGTGCTAAACAAGTTTTGGAATTTTCAGTGTGCACTATAATGTGACAGTATTAGGAAGCCCTGTATTTGTACCACATGCAATAAGAGTATAGATAACATAAAGAATGTTTCAGCATCTTCATTTAGAACTTTGAGTTTATTTGGGTAATAACTATAAAATGGTTCTACTATTCAAAGAGCATACATTTTTCTAAAAGACTTAGGGTCTGAGAGAAAAGATAAACTTGAAACTTAGAAAAAGTTTTTGTTCCCTGAATTATTATACATGTCAGCCTATAATAATCTAGTAACTTGAGTTTATCCACATTATTTTGTTAAAGATTTTATACTTTACTCCCTCACATAAATAATTCATTTTATAATGACAATTGTAACCATCACATTTTAATTTCAAATAATGACAGGCATTAGATGATCATTAATCTTTTTGCTACTTTTATTATAGAGATTTGTATTTCTGATGATCTGAGAAACATAAAAAGTTTATTTTAATTTGTTCTTAAAAATATACAATATTGCACTTTAATTCTTGGCAGTTTAATTAATGAGTGGCTGAGTTTAAAAAATCATACAAGAAACTACAGTTTTTATTTTGCTTTATAATAAGCACAGAGCTGTGTATAAAAGCAGAGCTTACAGTAGTGCCAAACAAATAAAATATTTACAGTGTAGATATTAAAGTCTTACCTTTAAAGGAAGATTCAGTGTATTGGATGTAAATATTATTCATGTAACAAAAGCACATACCCACTTCCCCCACATCCTGCTAAACATTTTTAAGCCAAACGGTATTAGTAAGAAATGCTTTTGTGATTTCTCAAGAAAATACATGAAAGGAATGCTTGTCCTTGGAGTATCTAAACTGGGTCACTAAACTCTTTCATAGAATGTTTCCTACATGACTTGAAAACCCTCTAAACCAAGAACTGGAATTCCAAATAGAGGGTTCTTGTTTAGTTTTTTGTAGTCATTTTCTTTACCATTACAAGTACACAAGTTAATTGGTTCATTAGAATTTAAAGGTCAGTTTCTTTTACTTTTTCTAAGATACATAAGATATTCAATATGCACCCACCTGAATTATTTTTAATTTTTGTTACACTGTAGTGAAACTATTGATACTATTAATTTTCAGGGACCCAGAATTTATTTTTCTTTTTAATTCCTAATTATATAACTATTCTAAAAAGATTTTTTCTTAACCAATTTGGAAAAGAGATTTGAAACAGGTATTTGCAAAAGCAAATACTAAAATTTAGACTTATTTAACATTATGTTAAATATTTAAAAAGATGAAAAGAACATAAATAGAATATATTTGTAATATAAATACATGACACAGATACATTCATTTTTGGCACCATCTAAAAAAAAAAGAAAACCCAGCAGTACTTATTACCCTTCATATCTTTGGGAATTCTTAAAATGTCTAACCATTAAGCCTTTTCTGTTCCCCCAGAGGAAAAATAATTCATAAATTTGAACTAGTATTTCAAAAACAGATTTTTTTTTTGTTACTTCATCAGTGAGCTGCAGAACTAACAAGTATTCAAAATGTTAACTCGCAGCCAGCTATGCTTTTACATTTTAATCCTAACAAGAAGTGATTATTTCCAACAGTGATTTTTCATGGAAAAATATGGTTCTTTTTAAACCATGTACCAATTGCATAGTTCCGATTTGGTAACAAAAGTCATAGTAGAGTTACAAAGGTATTAGCATATGTTAAGTGAAGCAGACCGTTAAAAAACAGTCAGTCTTGGGTAGATGTTAGTGTAAACTTGGAGGGGAGAAAAACAGTCAATAGCAAAAGGTTTTCTTTAAAAATAGATTAATGCTAAGAATAATAGCTTTTAAAATTTCCATTTAAAAATAAGCTTAATAAACAAGAATACAAATTTTAATTCAAAACTTAGCTCTTTGAAATGCCCTATTTTCTGGCATACAGCAGAAAATACATTTTTCATAGCTTCCAACATTACAAGTAAAAATGAGGCACTAGTTATACATATTTGAATATATTCACAAACAGAAGTTTCAGTCCCATCATAGGCTTGGATTTGCTCCGTTGTTTCTGAATGGCAAATTGCTCACAAAAATAAATCTTCTGAAGGAGGTGCATAAGAGAAACCAACGAATGCATCATCTGCCTCCAGTACACTGGCGTTCACTATGGAATAGTCAGAAGACACACAGACAGAATATGGAACTGTTTCTTCTGTAAACGCCGTGTCAAAGTTTCTGATATCATCTGGTCCAGCCTAAAACATCAAAAGCATAGTATTAGTCACCTTATCTTTTCTTTCGTTAATTTGGTCCTTCATTAAAGCTCCTTTATGAATTTGAATATTTCTTCCTGCCAAGGTTAGATGCCTTCCCACTTCATTTGTCTGAAATGTTTTCCTGATTTTCCTTTCCTGACATTTATTATTTGGGTGAGGTATTTGTCTTAACAGTTAAGGTTCTTTTGAATGGGTGAGAAGCGATGGGGTGTGGCAGGCTACCATCAGGGAGTTTCTATTTAGGCTATTTTGAATCTCTGGTCCTGTCATTGATCCTCCTGTCTCTATACCCATCACCACCTCTACCTCCAAAAAAGAAACCCAGGTAAGGTTTTCAGAATAGTATTTTACATTTGAGCTTCCCACCTCCATAAAAATGCCTATATATCTGGTTTCTCAATGTTAGGTGGGTGAAGTCTTCTGATGAATAAATAAAGAATAAAGAATATGTAAAATTGTTGAATTTCCCTTTAAAAATGATTTATTCCTTTCATGAGCGAGCAAGCAAAAGAAAGAGAGAACCTCCAACAGGGTCCCATGCCATCATCACCCCCAGCCTGAGCCAGTCCTGAATCATAGGCAAGCATGTTCTGGGTGTACTCGAGGAGGTCTCCTGAAACAGGGATCTTCCCACGTGGGTTAGCTTTGCAAAGCACTGCATTTCACCACTGCGCCACATCTGGCTTTCTTAAAGGTGACACTACTATGGCCAGAGTTAGCCTAAATAAGAAAAGCCTGGTGCTAACTACTGTTTTGTAAGTTTGCTTGAGGATGTGTGTACTAAAAAGGCTGAGTGTGTTCAAGTTGACCCAAATTGCAGAGAGGGAGGGAAAATGCCACTTGCAACAAAGCAACCCATGAGTTGCAGTTACAATCCTTTACTTGCATAAAAATCCACAATGAGCATGCAGCATAGGATCTACTCCTCTACAAAAGACCCAACCTTCTTATATACAGGGAGGCAGATTTGAAGCCTGAACTAGAACACTTCTACCTCATTACTGGCTAAGCCATGGATCGCCTGCAATAACTCTTGTTTCAATGACTGCCATTATGTGTACTGGACAATGGACCCTCTTTGAGTGGTAACATGACTGTGTTACAGAGAAAGTCCTCAAGCAGGTGTGAGTGCGCTGCTGTGCAGTGGTCGAAGGGATGCACGAGACCCAGATTTGTTTCCCAGCATAACCTAAGACAGGCCGGGGCACAGTGGTGTGTACCTGTGGTCCTAGCTGACAGGGAGGCTAGGGAGAAGCACGCGACATAGTAAAACCCTGTCAGAAATAACTCTCTTTCTTCCTTCCTTCCATGTGTGAGCTCTCTCATTAAAACACAAAACAAATGCTAGCCAGTGGCATGGTGGTTAAGGCACTGGGTCCCACATGGCTGAATGCATAACTCAAGCCCTGAACCTGGTAGCTTGAGAAGCATGCCAGGTAGGGGCTGGCAGGTGGCGTGGTGGTTAAGGGCGCTGGACTCCCACATGGACAATGGTGGTTCAAGTCCTGGACCTGGAGGCTTGCTTTCTCATTTCCCTCCCTCCCTCTCAGTGTCTATTCCTGGAACTATTAAAATAATAATAATATGGGGACCAGCAGTTAGCGTAATGGCTATGTCGCTGGACTCGCGTAGTCGACCACAGTTCGAATCTCAGACCCAGTGGCTTAAAATTCACGCTGGGCACGTGTGCGTGCGTGCCCGCCCAAGATCCCGAGAGAATGGAGGAGAAGGGATTGCAATGTGGCCATCCCCCCTAGGGGGTGATTTCTCGCTTTCTGTCTCTCTGTCTCTTGCTGTCTGGCGAGCGCACACGCCCTATGGCAAAAACCTCGCCACACACACAAAAAATAAATAAAATAATAATAATAATAAAGTTAAATGAAATAATTCTTTAAAAAAAAAAAAGAAACATGCCAGGCACATGTGCGTGCATGCCCAAAAATCCAGAGAGAAGTGATTGCAGCACGGTCATCCCCCAGGAGGGTGCTTTCTTGCTTTCCCTCTCTTTCTGATGAGCATACATACCCTATGCAAACTAAAAAATAATAAAACAACAAAAAAGTCACACAAAATAAAACACAAAAACATATCACTCATTCTCTCCCACCCCTGTGCTCTTACGTTGAAAAAAATAATGAAAAAATAAAAACCAACCACAGACTAGAAATCAATTAATTCATTTTGTTCATCAGAAGAGTAAGTATCAAAGGCAATTTCAATTAACTGCCTTTTCTACTACAGATGCAATTAGAAATTATAATGAGACATTTATTTTTTGCCTCACATTATATATTTCAATGCAACCAACATACTGAAAGCCTAAAACATGCTAAATATATAGTATTCATTTTTTCTTTTTTTAAATATATTCTGTCTCTTTAACTGAAATGAAAAATTCCTGAACAAAGGGAAAGAAAGAAACTAATATTTATTAAATACCTATTACGTGGCTCAGGGGCTTTTTAAGTGCTATGTAAGTTAAACCTCACAATCCATGCTAGAAAAGGCAGAAGAAATAAAGCTTGAAAGGTTTGATTCTAAAGTTAACATTAACACTATTTCCACTTTCAGTGCTTAGAAGGAGGCCCTAACTCTTCTCTGTGACTGATGATGGCACTTCTTAACTTCAGTTAAGACTCTCAATCTAAAGAGAAAGATGAAGTAATTCTCGAGCCCTGGGTTCCTACTGCAAACTCTAGAAATTTAAGACAGAAACTGTCCCTAATGAAGTCCCTTCGGAAAGAGTCACTTCTGGGTATAGTACATGAAGTCAGGCTACAGACTCTGTTGCCTATGGGGGTGAACTAGTACAGCTATTCTCACCGGCTCTGAGCTGTACACAGACACTGCCCTTCATGAAGCCTGAGCAAATTCAGTAACAGTTTCCTGAACTCACTAACTTATCTTGCTCTAACTTACTATTCTTTAAGTTTCACAGCAATACCAAAAAACTTAAAAAAAATTCACCTATGATCTTGAAATTCCAAACTGATCTCGGTTTTATATTCTCTTCCAGCCCTTATCTTTATGTTTACTGCTATAGTAAGTCCCCAAAATTATTACCATGTTTCCATTTAACATTATAAGGATTTTCTAAGCATTTGGTCATTTTTACACTTATTATAATTTTCTTAGCAAGAAAAAGCAACAGAGCATAAGAAAACAGGGTAATGACTCTGAAAGCACACACACAGATTTTAAATCCTGGCTCTACTTTCCATCCAGCTATGAGTTTCCATTTCCTCATTTATAAAACTTATAAAACTAGTTACAGTAGTAAATTGGTAGCTTATTGGAAGAGTAAATTATGAGGTTGTTGGGAAAATCATAACATATTTTTCTGTTTTTCTATGTGAAAGTGCGTCATGACTTTCCCGACAACCCAGTATATACTGTAACACATGTATAAAGCATATATGCCTATACATAAGCTAATTATAAGTATCATTATTGACTACTGATGATTGTGTATGTTAACAATTTCCCTGTTGTTACTTATTTCCAAAATTTTCCAACACCGTTAATACTATAAAGCATGTCTTTGAGGCAGATTTATTTTTTTAAAGATAGGGCTTTGCCATGTCACAATCCTCCTGCCTCAGCTTCCCAACTGGGAATACAGGTGTGTACTGTAACTCTTGGCTCTTTTTTAAGATGGGATCTTGCTAGGGCCAGCAGGTGGCATGGTGGTTAAGGTGCTAGATTCCCACATGGCTGACCATGTTTCTAGTCCTGGACCTGGCAGCTTGAAGATCATGCTGGGTGTGTGTGTATATGTGCTCAAGATCCTAAGAGGAGAATGGAGGACAAGAGATTGTAGCATGGGCATCCCTAAGGGGGTGATTTCTCACTTTCTCTCTCTCGTAGGTGCATGGACCCTGTGGCAAAAAAAAAAAAAAAAGGCAAAGCAAAGCAAAGCAGTGGGTGGGTCTTAGTATGTTGCTGAAGCCACCTGGGAGCTCATGATCCTTTTGCTTCAGTCTCTGCAAGTTACTGGGATGAGTACATGCCACCATATCCAGTCTTTTTAGGTTGGCCCAAGAATCAAACCTAAGTCTCCCAAGTGGTTCCAGCCTGTGGAGCACAGCATCTTAGCAGCATATACTACTGTGGCTGGGCCTGATGTGGCTTCTTGCTTAAAAAAAATTACTTTTAGGTGAAATGTTTCTATCACTAGATTTAACAAGTCTAGCTAATATGACCATTTTTATACTATTAACCGTTTTCCAAAAATGACCTAATTTATAGTAGCATTAATAATGTTTGCCTATACCTAGTTTTATATGAATCTAGGAAAGAATATGCATTAGTATTATTATTTGTTGATTAACTGTGTTTATAAATGATACCAAATAATTAATTTGCATCTTTTTTACTTATCAAGTTCATTTCTTTCCTACATATGCTCCAAAGAAATACTTCACAATGACTGTGCTGGTATTATTATTAACCTAATGTAACTATAATCTTACTAGTCTTCTTGCAGTTATTAGTTGTACTAGACAACCCTGAGTGACATATTTCACAAATATTAGGTAATGACTATATTTCATTCGAGCTAGATCTTGAGATCTAGTTCCAAAAGTACAATGAGCTGTAATTCTATGTTTCATAATCTTAGAAATATCTGGATATTATACTTTACCACATTAGGATTAAATGGTGGTGGAATTTTCTTTTGAACAAGGTCAGTCCAGCTGAGTGATTCAAAAAAAGGATGATTCTGAATTTCAAGCTAGAACAGTAAAAAAAAAAAATTTTACTAATGCTGAAGAATTATTACATACTCACTGAAGAATTTTATAAAACTATTACCATTTTGCCAAATCATTACCATCTATAATTCTTTTTAGGCACATGTGCATCTTATTAATGAAGCAAATGGTAAAAAGACTACAAGAGCAGACCTGAAAGTCAGTTAGAACAACCTACTTGAACTCAAGTTACATCCTCTTCACAGTCAAGGTTTCCTCAAAGATAAAATGGGGTCAACATTTCTGCCCTAAATACTTCACTGGCTGCTTGAAGCATCAGTATAAAATGTGGAAATAACAGTGCTATGAAAAGAATAAAGCACTATATTGTCACAAAGAATTATTATCACCAAAGTGGGGAGAGTAAAGATATCAGGTAGAGAGCTTTACACAGAAGGGCAAGGGTAAAATCAAGGTGATGAGCTCACTCAGCTACCAAAAAAAATCTTACTTTGGGGCTGGCCCCGAGCCTGGTGGTAGAGGGAGTTGGGCTGCACATGGCCAACAATGTGGTTTAAATCTTGGTCCTAGCAGTTTGAGGACCATATCAGACACATGTGTGTATGCCCAAATTCATGACAGGATGGAGAAATGGAGAAGGAATTCAGGTATGACCACACTCCATTAGAAGATGCTTTTTTGCTCTCCCTTCCTGACAAGTGCAAGCACTCTCTGGCAAACTAAAACAAAACAAGACAAAACAAAACAAAACACTCTGAGTTGGTACTATTATTAGTTGTCACAGTATTAATTCTAGCTTTTGTTCCTTGGGGTGTTATGGGAGTGTACACAGCAGGATCCAACCTAGTTTAGTGGTTAAAAGACTTCTTAGAGAATGTTATCTGACCAGAGGTCTGAAAGGTAAGAACTAGTCAGATGGAAAAATGTTCCAGGCAGAATATAAAGTCCCCCAGCTGATTAAAAGGTTAATTTGGTCAAGAAAATGAGAATCCAGTATGTTT